TGATTAAATTATGACAGAGTTTCTGTCACAAAACTAACACATGGCAGACACCCCACCTCCATCGCAGAGCAATCCCCCAATACAGCTCATAGTGGTTGGGTCTCAGGGGACTGGCCCCATTAAGCCCCATTATCTGGATAGAGAGAGGGTGAGGGGAAAAAGGCATTGATCTGTCAGAGTGGGCACATTTTCTAATGTCACAGAGAAAGGGATGGAGTGTGTCAGTTACTGATCTATCAGGCTGAACACCAAGGAGTTAGAACGAGTCATTCATGCTTTTATCACATCATGACTGCTTTAAAACCTGTTCACCTGCCTCAATCAGCCTGCACCAGCTCAGCTCCAACCGCTCAACAAATCTGCTTTTAACAGAAACAAGACAGACACATCACACAATACAGTGCTTTTAGCCTAGCTGCATTTGCTCCCTTCCAACTTCCCAAAAAAACCCAAAAAACAAATCGCACTTTTACTGTCATGACTTATCGACTGTGGAACAGCCTTCCTCCAAAACTCATAGAACTTAAGTTAATGCAAACTTTTAATAAAACATCTAAAAACATTTCTAAAAATTGTCTGTTTTCTAGTTTGTATGAATCAATGTTTTAAATCTTTCCTGTCTTTTTGTCTCTTTTTTGAGCTCTCCTTTTGAATCTTGTATTTATATTGTTTTTAAAAGCTTACTTCTTATTTTTGAAATAGGCTGAGGTTTATGTAAGGCAGTTTGACTCCTAAGTTGCTCTGTTGTCAGAAATTGAATATAATATTTATAGGTATGTTTTCATTAGTGTATAATCACATGAAAATAAGAATTATTGTTTTTTGTTACCTTACAATGAGCTGTTTTTATCTACAGAGGGACCGGGTCCTCTTATATGGACGCTGCCATATTGAACTACCATGTTTCTACAGTAGCCCAGAACGGACAAACCAAACACTGGCTCTAGATCGGGTTGTTAACATTTTGTAAAAAAACTTTTTTTTATTGTAAACACCCTCCTTCAGTATAAAACATCCACCTGGCCCCCAATATACAAACTGGTGACACAGTAAAACAAAGGGCTTCACCTAACAGTTTTATGAGAATAAAAATTATGTATATATATATTTTTTTGCATCTTTATTGGATTGACACAGATGTAGACAGGAAACGGGGAAGAGAAAGGGGTATGACATACAACAAAAGTAGCTGGAATCAAACCAGCGTCTTGAAGAACATTACAAGGAGCACTGAAGCTGCAGTGTTAGGTGCTAGTAAGCAGATTTTGTTAATAGGACTATAAATAATAATAATGGTACCATAATCTCATGGTACTCCAAGACACTTCTAATGGGTTAAAATAATCATTGTTCCTGTTGGACAGAGTCAAATGAGCTTTTTCTTGGTGCTAAGCTAAGCTAATCAGCTGCTGGCTGTAGCTTTATATTTTCACTGTACAGACTTGAGGGTGAAATCAATCTTCTCCTCTAATTCTTGACAGGAAAGTGAATATTTCCTAAAATGTCAAACCATTCCTTTAATACCCATGGTGTTAGAATTATATGGTCAATAGGTGTCCACATATTAGGCACAGTGTTAGTTCAGGCAGGCCACGAGGTCAAGCTCAGCTCTCAATTCCAGCTACATCAGCTGATCACAGCCATAGGCGGCGCCAGGGTAGGGCTTGGTTGGGCTATTCATTCGATTCACATGACGTCACTGTAGCTTTGTGCCGCCATCTTTACGACCGACTCGGGCCGATCGCGCCATAGTCAGTATTGTTCTCCACACTGTTTTTTTTTTTGTGTGAGAGCTCAAAGACCAGTTGCACATTTTGATTTGTTATCATGTAGGGCAGCTTATTAAACATGATGCCTGGAATGCAATAGAATGTGTTACGTTTTTATGTGTCGGATGGTGGGGGTACGCGAGCCGAGTCAGCATGTG